TTACATTGAAAATAATATTAATTTTAACAATAAACCAAACAGGACATACATGAGGTCAAATAGGCAGTGTTAAAATTGACTAGTATTCATGTAACTATTACAAAATGGTCGATACCAACGGTGAAAGATTAAGAAATAAATTAAAGCACATACAGGCTGCTTATGATTAGCATACATGTAGGACACATCAACATTAGGCACACGTACATACAGTACACCATGGCAAAGTTTGAAAACTACATTACCTTTGCAAAGATGCGCCACATTTTTGTCTCACAAGCGAATCAGAGCAGACCATTCGGGAGGGAGGCTTAAAGGCGCTTAAGTGGAGAAAAAGTATGTGTTTGTTAAACATTAAAAGTGCAAGATCTGAGATTGGAGGCATTTCCATTTTGTTTCTCAACGTCTCTCAACATGTCACCAGCTAAAAGCTAACGGTGCTAACAGTGCAAACGAGCTAACCGTGTTTACCTGAGGGCGAACCATGAGGGTGGGTGCTAAGGGTCCAAGACGACTTTGTCAGTTTGGACGGGTTCATCTGCTGTCGCCGCCTTATGAGATGATATAACCAAGATGGGACACGCTCACACTAACATGCACTGAAAGCACGGGCCACCTGCCTGTGTATGGCAACAAAGCTATAAAGCTCGGATTACTACACACACAGAGGGAGAGAGACGCCTGTCTCTGCTCAGGTAGACATAAGTCCACTCTACCTTTACATGTAATAGTTGTTTGCTGCTATATTAATGTTCAGAATGCTAAATGCAGCTCCTTTAAAGCATGTAAACATGTTCTAGGAGAAACCCAAAATACAAGTATGAATCTGAAAATGAGCATATGTTCCCTTTAATAGATGCAAACACACATTATGGGGACTCAGTACTTGATATCTGTCTTTGCATAAGGCCTGTATATTACAGAAGCACAAAGAAGAAAATAACACATGCAGCAATTTTTGTTTTGTAAACTAAGAAGTTTAAGTGACTCATGCATCTGGTCACATAATATCAGAATGTTTCCTTGTTTAACAGTGACATGAATATTAGCTTCAGATGTAGCATATAGCTTTCAAAATTGGCAATACATTTCTTTCTCTGTGTCCTAGAATTACCCAGCTGCCCCCCATGTCTGATTCTGTGTCGCTTGCAAATCTGGATCTTCGATTCAACTGCATGTCAGGTAACAGATTGTCTCGATTAAACGGACCATATAAATCCCATTTCCTCATCGTAAAGGCGTACGCACCTCTACTGTGCATATAATGCGGGCAAATGTAAAACCTATGTTGTTTCAGCTTTTCCAGTCCCGTACTCCCACACAGCCCCAGATTCATTTCACTTACTTTCAGTTACAAGGGATATAAATTTACATGCGCCAAAACCTTTTAGGCACCCATTTATTTTATATGATGCATTCAGATTGGCTCTATGCTGGCTGTCCATGCTGGAGTATATGACTCCATGGAAATAAGATGCATTCGTTCACAGGTCTGTGGAACACATCTCCATTTAATTCACCCATTCTACGTAACTCTGTATAACTAGATGAGACACTGGTGAGAGGGAAGAATAGTCTGAAAAATTGACATTGACAAGTTGTTTTCCTGCTTCTCCCTCAGAGCTCCAGAATGTGTGTGAGAGTCTGGAGGGATGTGTGTTCCTGCGAGAGGTCCACCTCACAGGGAATCCTCTTCAGCAGGACAGTGGCTGGAGGTAAGGCGATGGCTGGGTGGTGGGGAGGTAAGGCGATGGCTGGGTGGTGGGGAGGTAAGGCGATG